TTTTTTATTTTTTATTTTTTTAAAAATAGAAAAAGACCCAAATGGACTATAAAATATTATTATTATTTTTTATGAGAAATGTAGACAAATAGTGAATAACAAAAAATAAAAATTAATTGAAAAAGCTACTTCACAGTTTATTTAACAAACATTACTCAGCAACTTAAATCTATAATCAAAAAACTATACCAAACAGATTAACAGCTTTTGATTAAAGTCATAATCTATAATCTGTTAAGGTATAATCTATAATCTATTTTAACAGTTATACCAAACAGCACCAATGTACCTTGAGTTTAGTATATGACTTTTAGCACGTGAGAAATTTTCAGACCTTGGAATAATAAATAATACTATATGTACTAATTAGTATATTAACTAATATACTAATTAATGATATGATATAATTTTAAAAATTTAAAATATTTAAAATTTATATAATAATAACATTAATTAGTACATAAAATACCATCGTGAAACAATTCATTACAGCCATAATTTTAGCAGAATGAACTTTATGGGGGCAGAATTCTATGGAAAGGTCCTGCACATGCCTATAAAAATGACTTGTCTGTATGTAAAGCATTAATTATTCAAGAAAAAAATTATCCCCTGCCCTTGGTAAGCATTGCAAATCACATATTTATATGAATTCTTCGCATGCATAATAATGGGTCCCAGACAAATGTGTGATCCAGATTTGAGAAATGTTATGTATTTCACTATTTTATTTTATTTTATGTGATTAATCAATATACAATCAATATACAAACATTTCAGAGTCTCTCTCTCGCTCTATAGCTTCTCTCATTCTCTCAAACTAATCTTTCATGGGGGATCGTGTGGTTCAATTGAAAATGATTGTTTAAATTAGTATTGATTGAAAAGAGTTATCATTCGGCTAAAAAACCCACAATCCGGCCTAGTGAGATTTTATTTGATCCAAGCCTATATCCCGAATGGCCTAACTCAAATTAGATTGGACTTGAGTCTAGAGTTTGAAGCACAACTCGTTGAACCGTGAAAGACAACCAATTGGGCCAACTTACGAGACTATCAATAATTTTGAAAAATTAAGTGAAAAATATAAAAATAATTAAAAACATCTAAACACTAAGCCTTAAATCTTAGATAGCGAAAGGTGGCCTAGTGACCCGTTGCCCCAACCAAGAGCCCGTCCAAGACAAGCTTGTTGGGTAGGGCTTGGGCTAAGGTTCTAGTTCGCAGATTGGCTAGCCCAAGTTTACCAGAAAAAGCTCGATGGACTTGGCTCGTAGGCAAGCTTGAGCTTCATTTTTGTACGTCGGTTTGGCCCAATGTCAACTCTTATCCATTAATGCCTAATTTGATAAACAAAAAAATCATTTCTTGCTCTAAACTTAAATAAAGGCTCAGAGGAGAGGATGAGAGAAGGAGATGCATAAAGAAGATGGATGTTTAGTTGTTAAGCATAATTGTCTAATATAGTGAGTAAGAAGATATGTATTTATGGATTTGATTTAAGTTGTTAAAATTTTGAACTTAGCTTGTCCATCAGGTTACGCTTTCAACATTCGTGCGCATTCTCCTTAACTGGTCGATATCCACTACTGTCGCACCCCAAATCTACTGCAATCTATTCAACTAGCCAACCTAATCCACTTTCTAATACTATAGTGCACCACCATTGAGCCATAGATCCACATCCCAACATCATCAGAGCTCATAAAGTGACTTTCTAGCACCAATCGTACTGCCCATCTGTGCATTTGCTCATCATGCCTCTCTCTATATATAGGGTCGCAGTGGTTGATTGGTGTTGATCGAGGGTTGTGGTGGTTGATTGAGTTGTAGATTAAGATTGTAGTGGCTAATCTTGGTAGTAGTTGTTGATTGGGGATGGTTGATTTTACAAGTGGTTGCCAATGGTAGATCATGGTGGCTGGTTTTAGGAATGGTGCAGGAGCTATATTTAGTTTTAGGTGTATGTCATCCAAATTTGGAATTCGAATGTTTAGACTAAGTAATGTTTGGATACGATAATAATAAAAGTGTAAAATAGCATTTCAATATAAAATAATGATATCATCTTTCTTCTGTTTGAATGACGAATGCATTAACAAAATGTGTTAAATTGTCATGTAATTTAAATTTTAATAGAGATCAATATAATTATGTTTAAATTGTAAAGGTTAATGTATTTTTTTTTTGATAAATTTCAAAAGAGGTTTTACCCTATTTATTATTTATTATTGAAAATATTTTTACTATTTTTGTTTCACTTTCTTGTGTAAGAAAAGTTACGTGTAGGATTCAACAATTTATTTTATTATTTTTGTTTCATTTTCACTGTAAATCCATACTTATGAATTTAAAATTTACCCAAAAAAATAATTAATGGTTCAAATTCATTTTACTCGTTAACCTTCACATTTCATCAATTTAATCTGTACCACACAAACATATTCTTGACAAATTGCGAGTTCATAAGAGTGGATTCATAACATTTTTGTTAAAAAAATTATTAATTTCACTTTTTTCTCCCAAACTTATTGTTATTTTTTTTCCTTCTATTTCATTATTAAACTATTAATTTCATCTATTTTATCCTTACGATGTATTTGGATCATGAAAAGGAAATGAAAAAAAAAAAAATTAACTTGTATTTTATTCACATTATTTTCACCTTTTTTTCTTTTCTCATTTTAAAAATTCTACTGAAATTCATGATCCAAACACAACTTTAGAATTTATCATTTTAACTCATGTAGTCTAATTGGAAACAGTTCTCTAAATCAATATTCGTTAAAGCCTAATTTAAAGGGTAAAAGAGTCATTTCAAAGTTTGAACAACTTTAAGTAAATACGGAACTATAATAATAATAATAATAATAATAATACTAATACTAATAACTCCAGGTACTTGATGAAATTGATTTAATATAATTCTTTTGCTTTCTATTTGAATGAGTCATTTAATAAAAAATAAATAAATATAGCATCTAATTTATTAAAAATTCATATTTCACATATTTTATACACCTTTTACATATTTTAATATAATTTTTATGCACATACAAATATTAACCACCGCCAAATGGCCCGTGGTAAATATGGATGAAATTACTCATAAAAATTAGGCCTTGTTTGGGAAGTGATATTTTTGTGATTTGTTTTTACTAAAATATGAATCTTGATAAAAAATTAATTTTTTAATTTTTTTTTGACTTTTTAAATTTTTTGTGTTAAAAATATATATATATATATAATATGACCTAAAAAAATCAAAAAGTTAACTTTTACCATGTTGCCAAAAGGCCCCATAGTAAGTGCGGAAGGGATTAAAAAGTGGACACGTAAACTTATAGACTAGATTTATTTATCACTATAAACTTAATTTTAAAAAATACAATTCAACTATTAAAATTTTTAACATCATATTTTAATATAAATTAACACAAAAAAACTAAAAAAATAAATAAAATCAAAACTTACAAACAAAAGCAAAATGTCTTAATCATCTATTACTTTGATAAATTTCTCAATATAAATACCATACAAGTACCAAATGATTATTCCACAAACATATAACATACATCTAAAAAAATCTCAAAATTTTCTCATTATCAAAACGAGGGCCAAATACTTGAAAACATGTCACTTGGGGACTTGAAATATGTCCAATCTGATAATACATGTTGATCATTATCCCTTAAAAAAATAAGGAAATTATTTGGGATATAGATCCTGCATGATGTATCCCCAAAGACACAAGTTGTTCACCAAAATTGCTTCCAGGAATAGAAAACAAATCTAACCACATCACAACAACAGCTCTGCCAACGAACTGTTATATACACTAGGCATATATGGGTTCTTGGCAATCAAAAGGATAAAAAAATAACCTGTGAATTGTAGTCTTAAGACCAAAAAGGGTGAGACTGTTATATACACTAGGCATATATATGGGTTCTTGGCAATCAAAAGGATAAAAAATAACCTGTGAATTGTAGTCTTAAGACCAAAAAGGGTGAGACTGTTATATACACTAGGCATAGGGGGGGGAGGGGATTACCTCCAGCCTCCTCCCACTTTTATCTCCAGAAAGGGCACGATATCAACTGCCCAAGCTGAAGGCATTCCAAATTGGTAGAGGAGAGCAAGAGACGGTAGTTTTCCATTCTTTTGTCACAATCTAACCACAAAAGAAATAGTAACAGCCCAAGATGTTTTAAAACCGTAGGCTAAATAGTAAAACGATGCCGTATTTTATTGGATTTATGAAAAAATTGGGGCCTTCAGCATTAATTTTTTTGAAAAAAAAACAAAATTATTGGAGGCCTTACACGACGGGCTAAGTGGCCTAATTGTTGAGCCATGTCTGAAAAGAGGAAGAACCCAATATATATATATAATTCCTTTCTCCGTATACCAAGACAGCAAGAAGAAACTTTCACCATCAATATAAAGCTCTGCCAATTCTCATTTCATTTCATTTCAATTTACCTTCAAGAGACTAAAGATCAGTGAGCAGAGAGCTTCTGTCCATAGTCATACTAACAGAAATATAAAAGAACATATGAAATACCTCATGGATTCAGCAATATCCAACATTTGAATCGGAAAAGTGAAGGCAAGCAATGTAGTGAGACTGAAGACAAACCCAAAACAACTTTGTAATGTGAAATATAATCAACTAAAAAACAAGCATTAGTTGCACTACTAAATGCAAATTGAAGGCATAGGAAAGCTACATTGAATGACACTTGGCAACGTGGTGTGGTTGGGGAGAGAAAATAGAAAGGCTGTCAGATTATTAAAATCGTTGTATAGATTCCCCAAATCACAACAGGATTGACGTTTCGTAAATGTGTGCTGGTCACTTGCAATATCCTATCAATTTGGCCTCTTATGGTTAAAGTCAGCATGTGCAAGAAATGAAATAAGACATCAGTGGTACACCATGGCTGATAAATAACTGAGAAGTTTCAAATTTACATCAAAACATAGCATATCAATACTGAGTAGGAACAATTGAGGTATTTATAGAAAGATGAAGCTCAAAAAATTTCACAGAAACAATACTCACTCATGCTCTCATCTCTCCTATTTCCAAAATTTGAACTAAATCTAGCCAAGCACATTCCACAATTAGATGCTACACAATGTTAAGGCTAAATATCAGCAATTCATCAACAAGAGAACAAAATAAAGCGATAGCATACTCCAAAGAACAAGCTCAATACATGGAAGTAATTCCTTCTCCAAACATCATCCTCCATTTTGTTCTCTATACAAATTTATTCCCAAGAAACAAGATTAAATATGACTAAATTAACAAGATTAGCTTTATGACTGACTAAAGCTTACACCACATCTTACCCGGGAATTCAACAATTTCATCGAATTCCCAATTGACAAAGATGGTGCAGAGTATACCACTAATAAGAGGTCCCAATACACCAGTGGAGTCAGCAAACAGATGAACCTTGAAACTTCCACAAACAATGGCAACTCCTCCTCCAATTACTACCTCTGCGAAAACAACAAATTAACAGAAATTAGATCCAAAACTCGAATAGTTGCATAACTACAAAGTCAAAGATCGATAAGAATGAACAGAACAGAGTAATTACATTTCCAGTCTCGGGAACATCAGGAACTTTGTAAATATCAGCTGTAATTTCTGTCATCCACAACCCCGGAAACAGAGTCTGAAGAGAACAAACAAACAGAACAGTTAATTAATTAAGGCATTACAATCAAATACAGAGATCTAATCAAATACGCATAGATACAGTTTAGTTTGAAACTTAAAAACGATTAAATTCACTTACATCCAATTGTTTCTGGACAATCTTGGGACGTTTCTTGGGTCTCCGAGGCGGCCGATGTCCTGTCAAATTCATGAAATCGTCTTCAATCTCTCGCCGTGAAAGTGAAACCGAGAATTTCGCCCTCTCTCGCTTCTCGCCGGTAGGAGAGTCCTCCGCGGCGGCGGCCGTGACATCTCCGCGCAATTTCGGAGATTTGTTTTCAGTTCTCGACGGCGAGTAATTAGGTTTCCGCTCTTCAATCTGCAAACTCTTTGCTCCGCCACCATTACCACCACCACCGCCACCGCCACCGCCACCGCCACCGATTATTAGGTTTCCGTTCATTCCATTCGGAGCCTTACACGCAGCTCGTCTCGTTCTCAAATTCCACGGCCTCGAAGCTTCGGTCTCCGCCTCCGCCGCCGGTACTGAAGCCGCCGCCGCCGCGGCGGGCCGTTCCTCCTCCTCCTCCGAACCTTTCCTCAAAATCGCATCTTTAATCTTATCAGCCGCAGTCTGGAGATGGAACATCAGTTTGGTCCTAAACGCGTCGATTCTCTGGTCTCCGTCGTTCGATTTCCGCCGTCTCTCCGCCGGCGACGGCGACTTCTCGAGCTCCTCCCTCCGACGCGGCTCGATCAAACCCTTCTTATCCAGTTTGGAAGCTGAAAAAAACCTCTGATCAGCGGAGGAAGAAGAGTCTTCGCCATTCGGATTCATCTTCATACACCTCAGAAGTTTCTGATTCCCCCACTTCAAACACGGCATCTTGAAATTGTGCAACGGCTTCGATCTCTCCGGTCCCATCGCCATCAACTTCTCTGCTCTTCCTCCTCCTCCTCCTCCTCCTCTCTCCCTCTCTTCCCCCAACATCACCATTTACATTTAGCAAACACAAACACAAACGCAAACACTCCGACTACTCGCACCAACTTTCCCGGAAAATTTTAATTTTGACGGAAAATCGATCAGAGAAAGGTCACAAGGGTTTCATTGTTCAATCGCTCTCTCTGTCTATGTTATTGTGAATTCGCCGGGAAACGCAAGTTTATATACGAGAGAGAGTCCGATTTTAACGTTGGGGTGGCCATTCCTTTCCTTTTGAGGATGGGAGAGCTTTGTTTTGGTCAGTAAGTAGCGTGAGTGCTACATTGCGCGTTAGGGTGATGTGCGCACACACATTGGGGTTCGGTGGTGTTTTTTCGCGGGCTACACATGTCGTTGTTTGAGTGATTTTGATGGCTGGCCTAACTACCGTTGGATAGAGTGAAGTTCTTGTGATGATATTGGTTAACGGCCGTTGGATTTTTGTATCTATTTGGATTTTTGGGAAGAATCTTATCTTGGTTATTTACGAAAACATGTATAAAAAATTTAAAAAACAATGTAATAATTTATAATAATTTTTTAAGAAAAAATGTATAAAAAATTTAAAAAATAATGTAATAATTTTTTAATTAAAATTGAATGTTGTCAATGAGACCTAAATTTATTCCAAATAGAAAATAGTTTTATGAGTTAGAATTAAGGTGCACTGTACCGTAAGTCATTGTTCAATTTCCGAATATTTATAATTTAAATTATTCATATTATAAGATTTATTAAATAAAATATTTATATAAAAAATTAAATTAATTAAATATTTATGACCCTGTAATAAGATTACATTTATATATTAAAAAAAAGACACTTAACAATCAATTTTATTAATTAGATTTATTTATGTACAGGTCTTGACTTATAAATTTATCACTGTAAATTTATTTATAAAAATAAAAGAAACTGATAAATTTATCAATAGAACTTAATGGATAATAAGTCGTTAGACATTGATAATTTATCCTAAAAAATTGTTAACATGATTTTTATAATTTTCTTTAAAACAATTATTTAAAACAATTAAAACTTTAATTATGGGTTACGAATATCTAATTAACTTATTATTTATTTGTGTAGATGATATACTAGGCAAGCCTAATGATATAAATGGTTCAAATAATCAAAATAGTTATGAAAAAGGCTTACAAAAACCTCACAACGAGAATGCTAGAGGTGTGCATAGTATTGTTTGATGTGATTTGAGGATAAAATTAAAATCAAACTATGGATTATGGATTGACAAACTTGTTATCTATAACCAAACATTGATTTGGGTAGTTTCAATCTATTAGTTAATTGAAGAATAATCTTAAAAAATTATCTACATAATATTTTTCATATATATAACACTAACTAATTTTACATACGCCTTCCGTCTCAAAATACTTATTTCATTTTTTATTGTCCCAAAATTAGTATAAAATAATATGAATTTATTATTTTTCTTTCAAATTCATTAATAATATAAAAAGTACAATTATGGCAATTGATATTCTCAAAAATAAAAAAATACTATCAAAGGGTAATTTTGAAAAATTAATATTTTTAAAATGTAATAATTGTACTTTCCAAAAAAGTTAGATTCTCCAAAATAGACTACTATTTGGGACGGATGGAATGGAGTATTTTGAGAGTATTTAGTTGATTTGAAAGCCTGTAATTTTGGTATGAAAACACTCATTAATAATATAAAAAGTATAATTATGACAATTGATATTCTCAAAAATAAAAAAATACTATCAAAGGATAATTTTGAAAAATTAATATTTTTAAAATGTAATAATTGTACTGTCAAAAAAAGTTAGACTCCCCAAAATGGACTATTATTTTGGAACAAAAGGAGTAATATTTTTCATATATCTTAAATTTCTCTCATATTAATTTTTATTTTGATATTTCATTGAAAATAAAAAATATATATGTATTAACTATGGTAGGGTGAGGTGATTTGAAGGCAAATTATAAATTTATAGATCAAATTAATCAACGATTAACAAACAAATCAATAACAATGAAACGATTCTAACGAATTAAACAGTATTTCACACAACCGTAAAGACTGTTATGCTTGGAGCACAAGGGTAACACTCTTCCTTTGAATTGATAAGGTTTTTTTAATGACATAATACAAGAAATCTAAATAGAAAAATTCAAAAACACAATCACCTTATTTAGTTTCATTTTGAAAATAATGTTTTTGAAAAAATAAAAATCTAGTTTCACAAACCTAAAAATATTTTTAAATTATTTTTCAAAAACAATTACATAAAAATGATGAATATTTTTGATTTTTCAAAAAATTGAAATTTATTTCTCAAAAAATTATAAAAATGAGAAGTGTTTTCCTTTCTTCTTTTTTTTATTATTTAATTTTTCTTATATTTTTATGCTAAATTAATTTATGTTTTTGAAAAATATTCTGAAAACAAGTTCTTAAAACGAAACCAAGCAGTGGTTTCATCAACTATGAAAAAATAGACTCCCGCAATGGTGCTAACCTAGGAGGGCTCATGAGTCAGAGTCTGGCGATTAAGGATGCAATTTGCACCGACTCAATTCAAATTTTTTCACGAGTTTGGCAAAATATTTTTATGCAATTTGGACCGACTCAATTCAAAATTGTTTAGGATTTTGGCAAAATATTTTTAAATTTGGTATAAGTTTAGACAAAACTTTAAAAGTCTAAATTAAATCTGAGCCAGCTTAGAAAAAAAATACTAAACAATCGAGCATCTTGAAACTTGAATTATATATATAAATTGGGGGGATATATTTGTAGGGTCGCGTTACGTGGCCAAGGTATTGGCTAAGGTAACACGTGGACGATCCATGATACCAATGTTGTTGTGATATTGCCGAGACATGGTGCGATAATGTCAGAATCCTATATATTTTGATAGAAGACTAGAGTCCTAGATGACATCAACCTACCTATTTGGATAGAAATTGGACTCTTGAGGAAATTCATCTTAATCTGAATAGTGTGAGTTGTAATAGATGTTATCCTTGTAAATGATAGAGTCCAATAAAGTAAGATTTCTAGGGGAAGTTGGACACTGATATCTGTGGGTTTAAAGTATGCTTTTTATTTGTGATGCTTTAACTTGTGCATTGAGATATTCTCATCTCTTTGTTCACAGGTGGTTGGTTTAATCTATTCTGCGTAGAAATCAATACCTTCATAAATATATAAAAAAAAAATGTACATATAAATTATTAACTATGATATGATATTAAAGTAATTTAGATTGTTAGATCATATTGATTATATATTATATACACAAGTAACACAATACAAAATTTTACTTATTTTTTTTTTCACTCAGAAATTGTAAAGACCATCGTAAAAATATCTCTCTTACATTATATAAATTATTTATTTTAATTTTATTAATGATTTTATAAATAAAAAAAATTAATTATCCTAGCTGGGCTATAAAAAATTGAAATTTATATGTAATGGGTGTGTTTGGGAAGTGAGTTTTTATGTAAGTTTTTTTAATTGTAGGATATTATTGATTTTTTTTTTTTTTGTATTTAGGAAGATAGTTGTGTTTTTTTGTGGTTAGACGTGATATTTGTGAGAAAAAAAGTGAAATGATTATGGAGTTGGATGTGATATTTTGTTTGGATGTGTTTTTTTTTATTTTGCAAAAAGTTTGTCTTTTTGTGAAAAAAATTTAAAAAAAACCCAAGTTCAAGACTTCCCAAACACCATCATAATTTGGGCAATTCAGGCAATTCAAGTTTAACATGGGTCAAGCTTTGGCAGACAATCTCAAATTTACAATTTTTTTTAGCAAATCTAGATAACTCTCAATACAACTTAAATTAAATTTAGACAATCTCTTAACCGCGCGAATCTACTTGAGTTGCACCCTAATTTTAATTCATCCTCCCTACTACCCTGTGTCGTGCCAAGGCTTTTAGAGAGAAAAAAAATTAGGCGAAATTACAAATCAGGCTAACTATTCAAAAATAATTACAAATACATTAAAAAAAATTATGATTTTAATGATTGAAGTTTATAAATTTTACCATTAATTTGTATTTTTTTTTTTTGACTTTCAACTGTTTGGTTAATTATAAAAATATTCTATTGAGTATATAGATTGAAAAAAATATTCTATTAATAACAAATAATATTGAAAGAATTTTTTTTAGAGAAACTCCGTTTGGCTTGATTTTTAAAAAATTATTTTTAAATGAATTGTTGTTTATGTTTAGTGAATTTGTTTTTCATATTTTAATCAATTTTTTGTACTTTTTAGTTGCATTTAATCTAATTGCATCTAAAAAGTAAAACAAATTGACTAAAATATTTAAAAAAATCACTAAAAATAAATAAAAATTCGAATAAAAACCTATGTGCATTTTTGTTTATTTTTAGTGAATTTTTTTCATATTTGGTTAATTTTTTTAAAACTTTTTTAGATGCATATAATATTGATATATCTACAAAATAAAAAATAAAAAAAGGAGAAAAATATTAAAAAATTTCAATAAAGATAAACAAAAACCCGTTTAAAAATAATTTCTTTTCTAAAAATTTTTAGCCAACCTTTTTCGTAAGCTTTTCTCTTTGCTGATTTAAAAAAATAAAAATAAAATTGGGGTTCTTCTAGACTAGAAGTTTTATAGAACTTAAAATTTGAATAGTCAACAATTAATTTTTTTTTTTTTTTGGTCTTTAATGACTTTTTTTCCCCCAAATTTAATCATATTTGTAAAAAAGTGAAATGCAGCTAGTAGTTTATAAAAAATATATATATATATATCTAAAAAATTCAACAAACACAAGAAAAGCCCAAAAGAAATTACTTACCAAATGAGTCAACAAAGCCTCCGATTAGGAAGTGGGTTGGCTTTTTGACTTTTTGATTTTTTTGGCTATTTTAGCTTGGGCTAAAAAGTTTGGTTTGGGAAGGACTTTTTGGCTTTTTGGCTTTTTTAGCTTTTTTTTTTTTAGAGAAGAATATAATGATTATGAGTTGGATGTGATATTTTATTTTTTGTAACAAATATAGTCTCTTTTGTCTTTTGTGGCTAAAATAGCCAAAAAAACCCCGTTTAACTCTTGCCAAACGGAGCCAAAAATAGAGAGAACAAATATAGTACAAAATAGCTTGAGAAATAACTTTGCTAACTAACGAATATCAGATTTTCATATATCAAAATATAAAATGAAAAAAATTATAGACACCAAAAACTTTAGTCGTTTAACTATAATGACCTCTGTCCAC